AAGTATAGTACAAGCAGAAGTTGGAAAGGCTTTTGGTAGGTAGAGAGGGGGATAAACGTCAAACCACGTCGGACCACCGACCGATATTAAAATGGATGGCTATATGACATAAACCCTACTCCTAATTTCTAAGTCGACAAGGGTGAAAAAAAAAATGGTCGGTGCGTATGACAATTTGGACGCCAGACTGTCAATTTCGAGCATTCTACATCACGTTTCCCACGGGCGTACTACAATAAGTTATATTAGTTTTTTATTAATAACGCCCTATTTTAATAATGATTGATATTGGAACATTTGTTTCAGCTGCGTATTAATCAAAAATGATTTTAAATTGATTTTCTTAAATTAAAAGGTGTCGTAGAAGTAGTAATAAGTGTTATATTTAATTTTGATGTTCCTTTTTAGTGCATTTCGATACGCACGTGTGGGCGCCACAGTGTCAAATATCCACCAGTGAACACCATTACGCCTATCGAAAGGTTAGTAGATTTTACACCGGGACAAACGAAATGTATGGTGTCCGTTGGTGTCGTTCATTCCTACACCAGTAGCACGAACGAAAGCACCTGGTGCAGTGTTGCCAGAAAATATTTTTGTTACGTACCAGATTTGTCTAAAAAATGTAGATTGCATAAAAATGTACTAGATTCTGTAAAATGTACTAGATATTCGAATGAATTGTGATGTGGTTTGGTCCAAAAAATAAAAAAAAAGAGTTTTTAACGAACGAAAACAAAACAAGGAGCAAGATCCCAACAATATATTTTTCACGCGTCAAATGGTAACACGCTGAAAAGAAAAAGGTAATAGAATTTTGCTTAGAGTGTACCAGATTATTAGAAAATGTAATAGATCTAGTACAATTGTACTAGACTGGCAACACTGACCTAGTGTCTATACTTTGTCAATGACAGTTATCATTCTACCCCTATCGACCGCATTGATATCCTCTCTCCACGGTTCGTAGACAACACGGTGGCCTCATCACGGTTGCTAAGGACGCAGTGACGTCACGGAATGAAAAATCGAGCTGACAAAAAATATTCTACTGCGGTTCGTACATTAGTTCAATAATTTATTAATATTTAGTGTCGTTTATATTTTTGTTTTTGGACTATATACCTGTGTTGGAGTCTTTATAAAATCGGTAATTTGATTTTTTGAAATAAATTACTTTTTATTTGAATTATAAAGCGAAATATTATTGTGTGAATAGTTTATTTTTTAGATTAAAATTCGGCCTCTGAGCTGAATTCGGATCACACTTTGTTTATACCCCGAAATATTTTAAAATTTTGTCAAGCCTGGAGCGAGCCATAGTTTTGCTGTTGGAAAACAATTTGTACTTTTTATACACAAAAATTGTTAAAAAAAAATAAGAGGACTGAGCCTAAACTGAAATTAAAGGCCATTAGTAAGATTTTAGAGTATAAGTCTGAAATATCATTCACTATTATTAAATTAATTGCAGCTTTGTCCATCCTACATTTAAAAGCAGACGAGATGGTTTCTTACAAGCATTAAACACAAGGAAGAGCAAGAAAAGTCAAAGGACTTAAAAAATAACCTACATTATTGAAAAATAGTTTTATAGAAGAAAACATTTGTGTCCCTAACCAATGATCTGTAGAATTCTTATTTTGTGCATTTTTGTTAAATGAATCATTTTTCTGATATATTCAGTTACTGACAACTACTTTCATGAAGTCAGATAATAATTTGCTAAGGTCAAGCGATTTGAACAAAAGTAAACAAAACTATATAAGTATAGATTTTTTTAATACATATCAGTAAAAAGGAACGCAGAAATGGTTTTTGCTTACTTTCTCATTATCAAGATCTAAATGGGAAATAAGTATTGAGTGTGTTGTAGCGAACAATTTTAATTTAATAATGTTAATTTTTGCAATAAATCGAAAAACATTTAATATTTACGAAACAGTTAGGTATAGGACATAGTACATTAAATGTCTAGAATTTTCTGAAGAATCCAAAAAGTGAAAAATATACCCGAAGTTCATTTTACTAAGTCTAGGGGTTCTATATATCAACCTCTCCTGGGTTGGAGGGTGAAGTAGGGATGATGGAAGTTGGGCAGTTTGTAATCGTTTTAGGCCAGGTCTAAGGCCCCGCTTTTGGCTGTTTTCTATCTCTTACCAGTTAGACGAGGCTGAGAAAGAGGGGGGGAGTTGTAGGAGTCGGAGGGAAGTATTTTCTTCGTTTTTCGCGAACCTCTATCCGTCCATGTAATATTTTCGTGTCAGTTTAAAATTAAAGAGTGCTCATGTTCGCTGTAGGTTAGTTTTATTAGTCAATCATAATTTATAATGTTGGGTCAATTTGTTTTTATTGATAACACTAAAGCTCGTCAATAGCTACTAAACAATATAGACCGTCAGATAGTGACCGATTTAGGTGCCCCATTTTCGCATACAAACCTCGAAGAGGGTTGAAAAGCACATCGATATTGAGTAGAATAAAAGAAAATTTACGAGTGGCTCTTGGGGATAACACATGAAAAATTTGATTTTCCTTATCAGAAAAATTTTTCGACCCCAAAATGCCCTTATAAATTCGGGTCATTCAAGAAAATATGTTTTTCAGACTAGTGACAATGTACATTTTCATACATTCGATGGGCTTGTCTGGAAAAATTGAGAAAATCTCGATTTTTCTTTAGAAGATTACGCCATTATTTCAACCCGTTAGCCACGCGCAACATTAAAGCCTTTGGTTTTCCGAAGCCTAGTTCTATTAATTAATCATATAGTGAAAACGGCTTGAGTGGAAATATGGGCAACAAATAACCTTTAATTTTTGTTAGGAAAAATCGAATTTTTCATGTGTTATCCCAGGAGCCACTCGTAAATTTCCTTTCAATCTACTTAAAATCGATTTACTTTTCAACCATGTTCGAGGCTTGCATGCGAAAATGAGACACCTAAACCTGTCACTATCTGACGGTCTAATACTTAAAAAAGGAAAATCGTTTCACAAACAAAAGAGAAAATGGTACTGAACCATTTTTGTCTTTAAATATTTATGTATAGATTAGTTAAAAATGTTTAATAATTTGAGGTACTAATACTATAATTTTAAAATTTGCATTTAAAATAAGAAAGTTAGTATTGGCCACTGTTACATGACACACCCTGTACAAAAAGTTTTTATAAAAAAAATGCACAACTAAAAATACCAATCGAAGTGTCGTTTTTCCAAACACATCCCCATTTATGTATTATCGAATTTATTCCATTTTGCTGTTCCAAAATGTACATAAAATACACATAGTATATTTAACATTAGATAATTATACATACTTGAAGTATTTAAATAAATCATACAAAAGACCATATCTTAGACTAATTTTAGTAGTGCATTAATATTATTATTTAATTTAAATTTTCATTGAAATTATTAGAAATTCAAACAAGTAGATCTTTATTTTCCAATAAACTGATGAAATATTAAAAATAGCCAATATTTAATTATTTGATGGCAAAGTGACTCTGGAATGTTAAAGGCCCTGTAACTGTTATTGATGGCAAAATGACTGTAACCCGATTGTCGGGCCATCATCATAATTGAAGGCAAACATTTATAGGGCCATTATTCCCTTAACCAAAATATCTGTTGGGAAAGGATTAAGGTTTAAATAAACAACATTCTTTATTTTTATTATATAATTACGACTAAATATTTTTTTGTATAATACACTTTTTTATTTTAGCATTTTCATTTAATTCATTTAATAGTTACTGACATATGGTAAAATATTCTTGTTAACAAATTGTGCTTAGGTATTTGTGCAAAAATACAATATGATTTTAAGGCATGTAAAGTTTAGAATGTAAAACCATAAATAGTATTAAGGTAAACATATTTGGTTATATCAAATATTAAATTTTAGAATTTTTATATTATCGTTTTTAGAAAACACTCATTTAAATTTATAAAAGTGAATGCTAGAAAGTTTTATTTTTGGTTTTTATTCAAACAACAAATACATCAAGTATTCTAAAATTTACAGTTCTAAAGTAATTGTTAATTTTTTTTTGGTGTTTGGCTTCGACAACTTAGGTCATTAATTAAATGAAATAAATGAAATAGAAAATATGTGTTTTATTTTCTATTCTACATATATTTTGCTTTTATAATCTACATAAACTTGAAATGGAAAATACAGGTACAAGAATAAGAATAATATTAACTTTTACACATGTAAAAATATGTTTCAATTTACTTAATTAGAGATTCTAATGTTTTAATGTACAAACATAAATTACGTATAAATTTAATAAAAAAATACATGTACCAATTATTAATTATAACAAATATTTCAGTGTTTTAACGACAGTAATAAGAAAAAAATCTTTTTTAAATTTTGATAATAATAAAATCTATGAACTTATGTCTATATTTTTTTTGTAATTGTTAATTTAAGATTTTTCAATAAATGTTTGGATCAAATAACTTCACCAGAAAATAATACTCCGATCAAAATAGACATTTAAGGTTACATTAATTTGCATAAAGCTGAATCTTAGTTTGATTGTTAATATCATCAATATAAAAGAAATGTCAAAAGTCCCCATCGATCCGGTATGTGCAAAAAAAGTTATTTAAGGTCGAAGTTCGAAAAAATTGTTTTCTTGCATTTTTCAGCCAAACTGTGAGTTTTATCATAAAAATACATTAGACAAAAATTGTAGAGCAGGTAATTGTTTACAAAAATTGTCCCTACACTTTTTCTTAAGAATAATCATTTTTGAGAAATAGCGATTCAAAAGTTGCAGTCTCCATAATAAGCACCTGTGAGGTAGTGTATACGTCTTTCTTTTTTAACGTGTTTTTCCCGGTATGCCTATTCTACTGTCTATTGTGGTCTTCGTTAATACAATAATGTCTTTAATAAATAAAGGAACTATGGAGATGATGGAAGCTGCATAAAACATATTATTTGCGAGAATTATAATCTTTTATCGGAATTTCAAAACCAGTGTCTTCTTCTTCCTCCTCTTCTTCTTCCTGCTGGATATACGTGAATTGTTCTAACAGCGATGCATCACATGTTTCCTCACTGATATCGTAGCAATCCTCTTCTGATGCCGATTCAACATTGGAGCACGACTGGCCTTGACAACAGTACATGCTGATAAAATAATCAAACTTATTTGCATCCGCATTTCGTAATACATCCTTTTTACAATTTCAAATAAATGTATTTAGGAGTTTTTCCGGTGCAGGTGGAAGTAAAGTGTGTATTGGTTCTAAATATTCAATTAATTTCCAGCTCCAGTCTTCTGGCTTCAGTTGATTATTAAGCCACACTTAAACTTCATAATGTACCCGACATAGATGTTGCTGAGCAGAAGCAGAAGCTGGGGGAAGAGTAGCTAATTGCACTCGTTTATTGTTATGAGTACCTATTTTTTACAAAAAATAAGTATCGGAACTTATCTAAGCAGGTTATTTTTTTGAAGCTTCACATACAGGTAGAAGGAAGCGAAGTCCGTTGTTGATTACAGATTGTTAGGTAGAGTTACTCTCTTTAAAAATTGGAGCACCATCAACTACATCCTTCTTTTCAAACATTTTCAAAACTGTTGATTTTGCCCCTACTGAAAATTGCTGATGTATCGCTGCCAGTTACTGCGTGTAAAAATAATATGTGCTTTTACATTTAGAAAAACTTTTTAATGAATATATTTACCTTTTTTTTAGCATTCCCAGGTTTTAGAAAATAGATAATTTGGCCGGTTGGAGTTCTGGCAGTAAGTAAAATTAATAAATTAATATCTTCACTAACTACAATAGTTGCAGTTGTCTGGTTTACTTGTTTTATTGCTGTTTCAACTATTAGAACATCAGCGTCATTATTAGCTTGCTTGACTAAAATATTTTCAGTGGTGAAATTCTTTTAACATTGATATGAGCCGTGACTTGTTGTGAGTGTTTGTAAGAAATCGATGTTGCTTTGTGGGAACGGTTTAATATTGTTTTTATAATCAGTATAATCATCAAATACAACAGTTACTCTTTCGCCAAAATGTCTATGCACATACTGAACATATTTACCTACAACAGCGTTAAATGTTTCCTCGCGTCCCACACAATGCGGCGCAATAGGTATTCTCCATCGATGATGTACGTAGCACTTGTATTGTCAATATCAATGTATAGTATTTGAAAACAATCAGAAATGGCTGACTTTTGTGTGTTACGCATTCCAATATCATCGAGCAATGATAACAGGTAGGGAGCTCATATTCCAAATATTTTTAATTTCATCTTCGAATGCCGTTGTAATACTCTCATGTGTTGAAATAATAAAACAGGGTCAGCTGGTACTTTCTCATCGTGGACTTTGATGGTGCTACTTATAGTTAAAAGAGGAATAACTTGATCAGCGCGTTTTAATTTAATGGTATTAAATATCAGTCCTGTCATTTTAGTCATGGAAGCAAGCCCAACTTCACGAGCTTCATGACAGTTAATTTTGTCATCACCAAAGAGTAATTAGCAATATATACAATTTTGTTTATCTCCGGAAAAGGACCATGTGATGAAAACTACTCTTAGAAGTTTTTACATGTCTTTGGCATTTTTCTTTACTCATGAATCACTCGCGTCAGCATGGTGGTCTATTGTATCCATTATAACAGCAAAATCGCCAGTCCTTTACACATACTATTCATTGTATGCATCATGCTATAAACCCGTTTACTTATGACACTCTCTTTCGTACTTTTTCCTCGGGCAACATAATTTATCTGAACGCCTAACAGTAAATTTTCGGTAAACTTCATAAAGTTCTCTAATTATAACATTATAAGTGTTAGCATAAGGAAAATGTTTTGATGCGTGTAAATAAGGAACAATTTCTTTTACTCTGTTAAAATGAGCTTAACGATCTCCCATAAGTTCTGCTCTTATGAACTTTGCAATTGACACCATTCTAAAATATTGTATTCACAGTTTTGCGGTAGGTCCTCGTTGTTCAACTTCTTTTAGTCTTTGATTAAACTGATCCAGTAGTGCTCTAGATATTTCATCATCATTTTCGTGCTCTAGTACGAGGAGGACTTACTTTAGGTGTACCAGCTTGTTTTTTTTTCGTGTTGCCTCTTAACTGCAGCAAAAGTACTCTTTAGAGTGTACTTTTTACGATATTGCAGGTAAATTGTCACACATTTTTGTTCTTACAGGTATTAGTTGCATCCATCAACGTCTTCATGCCACGATCAACAGTAACAATTTCACTTTCAGACAAAGGTTTATTAGAAATAAAGCAACATTGCCAATTTTTTTTTTATTTAACGAAAAATGGCATAAATTTGTTTAGAAAATAATAATAAACATGTGTTTTCACTACTTTTTACTATAAAGAATCGTTGAAGACAAATACGCCAGTTTAGTGTGATGTCATTTTGGTTCAACTGACATTTAATTCTAACCAAACTTTTAAGTGAAACATCAATAAATTTGACATATACGTTTTCATTGTTTTTAAGTTTTTTTATAACTATTATTTGCAGGTCATCAAAATAGTTTAAAGGTATGTAATTGGTAACTAAACGATTTGATGCATGTTATATTTAGGAATATATTAATTAAAGTGAAAAAACGATATAATTTAGGTAAACAAAACGAAAAAAAGCACTTAAAAATCACTTTGTCAGTGGAACCATAATAAGCACTAAAATGGCTTGTAGTAGCTTGTCGGCGATATGTCAACGACATATGAGCATAAGAAATTCGATCTTAAGCTTTCGATTTTCGGCTCGTTGCAACACCAATCAATCGGTTTCAATTGATGGTTTTTCCGACTAAATGTGACAACTGACAGCTGTATCGCGGGAGCTGAGGTGTCAACCGAAAAAATAGTCGTTTATATATACTTTCAAATTAAGGTACATAGGTACATTTAAATAAAATTATAAACGAAATTTAAATCCAAACTGTCAACAACTGTCCTTTCTTTCAATGATTAACCACAAATAAAACGAATTCAACACAAGGCGTTCAAGATAGCATCGATGAAACAGCGAATCCAACAAATTGATGGAAAAAAGACACACGTTATGTGTAGATATAAGTCCAATCTCTTTTATTGTATTGTGTCTAGTAATGTATACAGGGTCGCTACTATTTCATAAGGACAGTATTGTTATTTCTTAAACGGTAATAGATAGAAAGTAAAATTTTGCCCACCGATTGAGCTTAGCGTTGCTGCTGCAAGCACTCCTTCTGGAGCTTAAAATTGAAAAAAGTTGTTGAGTTTTGTGCAATTAAAATGACCAAGAAACATTTGATATCTACAGGGAGAATTAAAATATCGGACAACAAATTACAATTGTCATTTCTTTTAATTCATTAATTTTATGTCCGGTATTTTGAATCTTCCTGTAGGTATCACAGATTTCTTAGCACCATTTTAATGAATACAAAACTGCGCAACTTTTGTCATAGGAAGCCTGTGCTCATATATATTATAAAGAATGCAGCTTCTTCAACTTTTGAATTGCTATATCTCAAAAACGGCGACTCTTAGGAAAAAGAACAATTTTTTTGTGAATAATTGCATGTATTTTTATAATAAAACTTAGTTTTGCTGAAAAATGCAAAAATCTATTTTTGCTAACTTTGACCTTGAATAACTGTTTTTAACCGACTTCAAAAAAGGAAGAGGTTCTCAATTCGCCACAATATTTTTTTTTATGTATGTTCAGCGATAATTCTTTAACACGGTGTCCGATTTCAATGATTCTTTTTTTTGTTAGAAAGAGGGTGCTTCAGGGGTGGTCTCTTATAAATTTGGTCAAAATTTAATAATTGGGTCCATGAGAAAATCCTCTGTTTATTTTTATGTATGTTTAGCGATTATGCTTTACCATCTTGTCCGATTTATATGATTCTTTTTTTGTTAGTAAGGGGGTACCTTATAAATTTGGTTAAGATGTGGTGATGACATCTACACGTTTTTGAAGTCGGTTTTTTAAATTTTTAATTTCTAATACTTGTTGGATATGCGGGACCGATGGGGATATTTATTTTATATTGTTGATATAAACAATTAAACAAAGATTCAGCTTTATGCGAATTAATATTTTTTGGATTATAAGGGTATTTACTAAATTTGGCATCATTTTAATACAATTATTCCCCTATTAAAAATAGGGACTAGTGTGAAAATTCTATGAATGCTCTCAAATTCAAACATCAAATTCATTTTTGCAATAATTAATCTATGTAATTAGTGAGTTAGTTCAATTTGTGTTTTACATCTCATATAAAAACATACAAATGGTAATATATAAATGCCGGCCAGCGGCTTAATAATAGTTATTTTTAATTATTTAATCTAACAATACTTTTTTTACTATAATTAAAATACTGTTGGACCCATTTTCCCGATAGTGTAATAAAAATATTAAAATTCTGAATTAATAATGAATATGAGACGAACACAGTTGTTGCTTTGTAACCCCTAATTTTAGGATATATTAAAAATAATCCTGTCCTTTTTTTTTATACAGAAAAGACCACTGGTAGCGCCTCATTCTGTAGACCGTTAATAAATTATTTAAAAAATTAAAATATAAAAAATTGTTTTTTAACAAGTTTAAATACCAAACAAAAAAGTATTGATGTAGTTTACTTTTTACCACATAATTTTTAAATAATTTATTAACCAAGTCAAATATATTTCTTCTAGTGATGAGACGTAAATTTTCAATTATTTTAGATTATTTCAGATACTTTTGTGCCTGAAAATGACCTTATTAAGTCGAAAGTGCCTTGCATTCTTTAAAAAATTTCCAGTGATCAACAGACTTTATTTTAAAAATGAAACTGTATATATGTTCTTCCATCTATTAACCAGGAGCTGCGTTACACCTTAAAACCCCTCCAATAAGTTTGCAGGGTTCTATAATAGACTATGTTGATATAAAAGACATTAAAAGGAAATGTGTGTGTCTGAAAATTATTTGCTTCCTATATTAAGTGCTGAATTATCAATTAAAAGGTAAACATTTGAAATATTTACAAATGGGATGGCTAATGCATGTTATAGAGTAAAATTTAACAAGAGTTTTTATTAATAAAATCTTATTTTTTTGTCTAAAATAATTATAACCTAAAAATTTTATGATGTGCCTAATATTGGATAGCTACAGGTTCCCAATATTGGATATCCAATATCAGGCAATGCTTTGAGGTCAACTGCAATAATATATTATTTACAGAAATGGCTACTAAGAAAAGAAAGCAATGGAATAAAGAAAATATGACTAGTGCTATTCAAACAGTAATAAATACAGAGATGGGATATTTGAAAGGTGCCAAGTCGTACAATGTTCCGAAATCTACATTGGAGTATTACTGTAAATTTAAAAATCCCCTAGAAAATTTAGAAAAATCGACTCTTGGTCGTAAGCCAGTGCTACCTGAAGTATTGGAAAAAGAGTTGGCAATACATTATCTGGAATTAGAGGAAAGGTTCTATGGCTCTAGCTAATAATTTGCCCATCCATTTTCAAAAACAAGAGTTAACGCTGGGAAAAAATGGCTAAGGAATTTTTTGAGACGAAACAAAAATATTTCTTCTAGAACTCCTCAATGTGTATCCGCAGCTAGAATCAAAGGATTTACTAAAGAAAATCTGATTAAATTTATGATATTTTGTAACCACAATTGGACAAAATTAAGTTTAATCCAAGTAAAATGTATAATGTTAACGAAACGAGAATAACTGCAGTCCAACACAAGCATACTAAAGTAATTAGCGTAAAAGAAAACAAGTAGGAGCATTGACAACAACAGAACGAGGTGCGCTGGTCACTGTTGTTTTCTGCATGAATGCTAATGGACATTTTATACCCCCAATGATGATTTTTCCACGGAAAAATTTTAAAGTAGAGCATATGAATGGAGCGCCTCCAGGATCAATTGGAAAATGTCATCCTTCTGGTTGGATTCAGTCATATTGATTTACGCAATGGATGGATCATTTTATTACGCATGCCAAGCCATCCCACGATGATCTTGTTATTTTAATAATGGATAAGCACTATACATACACGTGAAATTTGGATGTAATTAACAAGGCTCGGAAAAATCACAAGGTTCAACCATTGGATGTGGCATTTATGGGACCTTTTAAAACGTATTATTGTCAAGGAAAAGCATATTCAAGAACTGCATCGATGGAAATTTCCATAAACGGATTTAGAAAATGTGGCATTATGCCTTTTAATAGGAATATTTTCCGGGACCATGTTTTTCCATTCATGACAAATTGAAACTGAAAATATTAACCCAGAAAATGGACCCCCAAATGATATTAAAGAAAGAAATGACCAAATCTGAACCAATTGCTCAAAAATCTGAACCAAAAATAATTGTTTTACAAAATATTATTTGTAATAAACCAAATATAGAACCTTCGGTTCCTATTACTAATAAATAAAAGCAAATTAATTTTGTAAAACCAGCTGACATACATCCATTGCCAGTAATACCTGGTCCTTCAGGAGTAAAACGGAAAAACTCTGGTGCCGCCGCCTTAGTTACAGGTTCGCCCTACAAAACAGCTCTTGAGGAATCACAAAGTCTAAAAACAACGAAAAAGTTTGAGAATTTAAAATTTCAATCAAAATCATCTGAAAAAATTAAGAAAAATTACATTTCTCAAAAGAAAAAGTAAAAAGTTGTTGTTTCCTCGCATTCCTCAGAATCATAAGAGAAAGTCCAAAATGCGGATTCGGAAGATGATATGGATCCAGAAGAAGAAAATGCGGATTGTCCCTTCTGCTTGGAATCATTTCCTTCAGATAAAGTAGGAGAAAAATGGATAAAGTGTTGCAAGTGTTACAGATGGTTCCATGAAGCATGTGCTGATGCTGAAGGCAAAAACAATTACATCTGTGACTTTTGTATGGATGGATGATTTGCCCTGTTAAAGCTGTAAAGTGGAATTTTTTATTTGTTTTGTATTTTCCTCAATACAGTTTTGAAATTATCAATAGTTTTTGAATAAAAAATGGTTTCCTAATATTGGATACCCTATCAAATATTAGGCTTCTATTTTCTAAATTGACAAAATCAGCAATTTTTCAAAAATATTTAATTACTTCCTGAAATAATTTTTTATTCTTTTGCCGACCATCTTAACTGATAATATATACTTAGTTATGCTATAACTTCATTAAACTAGCGCAAATGTAAGGATGTTTTTTGATATAATTCAACAGTTAAAAAAGTATCCAATATTAGGCGATTCTCCTCTATTAAACGGAAAACTTTAGATGTGTTAAGAGTACGCCAAGCAACTTAAAACTGCGTTTCATTGAAATGTTCTCATTATATTTTATATACTATATAAACATTATAATTCAGAAAATTTAATATTTTTACCAACATGACAAACCTAAGGCACTTCTTCTCACCATTAAATACTTAAGTAGGTACGTACTTATCTATGTATATATTTTTAAATAATTACAAAACAATTATTCATCTATCACATTACTTTTTCTCTTGTTTGAGTAGGTAGGTGTTATCTTCAAATATTTACAAAGAAAACATGAACTAAGCAGGATATACAAACTCTTAATGAGCATTTAGAAAAATACTCATTATAATTTATAGCTTAGAATTTCAACATCTTTCATAAAACAAAGTAATTTTCTTTAATAAATAATGGTAAATTTGTCTTAAATAGATGCTGATAAACTGGACATATAATCAATCGTTTAGTTTTTAGTTTATTTGCAAATAAAGATAGTACAAAAAATAATATAAAATTACTTGTATCATGCTTCTTAATTCGTTTTTTCTTTAGTTGCATTTTACTTACTATTTAAATACTGACAATTCTTTCTTGCTAAAACTGCTAGAAAATTATACATAATAAAGTATTTTTTATTTTTTGAAAGTAAACTGTTTTAGTTAGAAATGTAAATTATAATTTTGATGAGTAACGTTTCTCTAGAGTTATCCTTCAAATATTTTATCATTTTGGTTTCATATCAGATGAATTTTAGGTAAAACTACATAACAATGAATCATCAAAGCATATTATTAACAAAGAGCAACAATAGTGGTATGAATTTAACTATTTATTCTAGGTAATTAATAATTGCTAGAAAGAATATAAACCACTTCTGTGTTAAGCTAGAGGAACTAACAGCTAGAGTTAGCAGCCTGTTAGAAAATGGACATTAGTTAGATATGACAAAATAAAGCAATTCAAGTACCTAATGTCCATTTTCTAACAGAGGCTGCTAACTCTGGATACTAGTTTCAACTTTATCACTTCCATAGCATTTATAAAAGCTATGAAACTTAGATCAAAAGTCAACTACCAAAATTTTAATAATTTCGCTAGAGAAACGTTACTAATACTTAAATACGTACGTTAATTTCTTAATTTGTGAAATTTATATAATTTAAACTAAGCCACATTTTAATTACATGTGTCCTTCGATCTCGGCCACTTGACTATAATTAGGCAACCCGTTCCTAACTACACCATTCGCAATGTTCTTAACATGGCCATTTGCCATATGATTCACTCCGTTAACTCCATTAATTCCGTTACTAACTCTTTTACTTATAGTCTCTAAGGGCTCCTCATCTTCTAGATCAAGTAACTGGGTGTCCTGCGGTACGTGGCCATTCGAAATAGCGTGACCATTTGGTATGTGACCGTTTTGTGTAACCATCTCGTGTTCCTGCGATTGGGATTTTAAATAATCGATATGTTCTTTGACTACGTTTTTGAAGTCTTGCTGAACTGGTGTTGTATCGGTATCTCCATCGACCTAAAAATTTGAATAATAATTAATGTTGATGGATTAAGAAAGCATAGAGTGTAGGTAACCATGATAGTCGTGCAGTTATCACTCTAATTCAAGAGGACCACCGACGAGGGCAAGAAGCACGAATTTTAAATGGCCGTCTTGAGGACATAAAATATATCGCTCACCAGCGGCAATGTGGCACATCTCAAAAAATGCAAATTTCCTTGGAATACTTGCATTCTGTTTAAAATTCGTTATAGTTTTATCAAACAAGATTGGCATAAAAATAGTTGAAACTGTCTCCCCGATATGACGAATGTATCACTATGGCATAACATATATCCCGCCCACATGCTAAATCAACACTGGCATATTTTTAATATGCCTCTGACCATAGATTAATGTCTCTGTGTTAGATTCGAATCATCGTGTGTGAGTAGTAGCGGTACAAATAAGTAGATAGCAACGCTTTGTTTAAGCATTAGTGGCATATTTTGAGTTATGGCACTACATACTTTCCATTTTTGATCAATTTCTCCAAACATGCCAGAATAGTTAACAGCTGTATTGTTATATAAACTGTGACACTTGGGTTCAACAATAGTGGCATAGCTTTCAATTATCATCTTTTTTGAAACAACAAAATTAACTTAACAGGCTACAAAAAATTGGTACCCAAAAACTCACTGTGATCACAGACAAGCTCATTAATAGTATTTAAATGACATTTGAAACATTAACATTGAAATAGTTAAAATTTTAAAACTTATTTTTATTCATAACGTTTATTTTTACATTGTGCCACATTTGTCGCTCTTGAGCGATATGCTATTGAAGACCGCTAAAGTTCTTAGAACTTTTCTAATAATTGTTGTACACATCTCGAGCACATTGTTTAGTAGGGAAGAGTGGGGAGGTTTGGGACGTGGGAGGATTGGGTCAGTTGGGTGTAAAAATAAATGAATTTTTAGGAAAGTTTTACTTAAAATAGTAATATAAATGAGTCACTTTTTTGAACTTGCAAGTAGCATGACCCGCTTGTAAGTTTTTCTCTAACTTTACTACTTTTTAGGCGACAAATGTAGTCTGTAAAACATGTTGATAAAATAAGAGAGATTTTTCAGATTTACAATGCTACTTATTTATAAACAGAAAACTAACAGAGAAAGAAAGACTCCTAAGCAGATATTACAAGCTCAGCAAGTAGCTGCAAATCTAGGGTTTTCAAGCTCTGCTTTGTAAAGGCACGTGCAAAATGCTAAGAAAAATGCCAGAGTATTTGCAGACTTGCAGCAAAATACATTACGGTTTGACCACAAAAAAAAAACGAAAGAGTTCGCGTATCAATATGCGAGGAAGCTAGAAATAACTTATCCAACGGAATTGGATGGGTCTAAAGCTGGTAAGCATGATTGGCTACTAGGTTTCATGAAGCAGCACTCTTAAATTTCTACACGAAAACCTGAAGCAACAAGCTTAGGGAGAGCATCAAGCTTTAATGCCCATAATGTTGGAAAATTCTTTGAAAATCTTAGGTAGGTACATTTTAGAAAAATGTAAATTCTCTCCAGATAATATATGTATATATAACTGCGACGAAACCTCCGTTACCACAGTCCATAAGCCCCAAAAGTACTAGCAGTTAAAGGCCAGAAACAAGTAGGGCTGGTTACATCTGCGGAGAGGGACACATTGGTAATTTTTCGTAATCACATCTCGTATTAGAGTATATTTCAAAAGTTTGACTTACTATTGTCAGCCTTCCTATGCTATCCATGGCTCGTAACATTGGTAATGATGACTGTCTGAAAATTTCTAATCTTCTTCTAAAAGCCGTTACACTATCGTCCAATCGGCCTCTTCCTAGTTGCAATTTAGAGCAGTCAAGGAGTATTATAGCTGGCTTCTGTTTAAACTAAAAAATATTTATCAATTTAGTTAATTAATTAAACTAAAATAGTAGTTTGTGCAACAAGAGTAGATATTATTGTCATATCGCACGAAGACGAAGTTTGAGCACGGCGCCGTAGACGGAGTGCTTAATCGTATGAAATTTATGAGCCTAATTAATCTTGGAGCCTAAAAATGTAATTTATCTGAATAATATGAAATTACTTTCAAAACTCTTACTGATACCCCAGAGTACCGATGAAGGAGAAGCGACCTTTTTCACAGCATAAATATTATCATTGTATAAATATATTTATACAATGATATTATCAATACACAAATTAATACGCTGAGAAAACCTGCTTATATTCTACACTGAGCGAAATAGCTTGGCATATTATCTGAAATAACTGCTATAGTCCACGCGCAAATATTATGTGATTTATTTACATTTAGGTACATAATTCCTTATGTATTAATTAATTATACCTAATATTTATACATGGGATAAAATTCTTAGTTTCCTAATAACTTTTTTTGGCACATTTTGTGACTGTATTAGAATACCTAAGTGTAAAAAATTTTAATATCATTACAACACAAAATAAAACACCAAAAAATATCACTTAACATTTGCTCACGTAGTAAACACAATTTGGACTGACTTGGACAGATAACATGATTTTAAGTGATACAAAACTTATTTTGGCACATGCGCATTAAAAACGGTACACTAAAAACATCAAGCTGTCGCTTCTCCTTGACTTGATTGGTATTCTCGGTTGATACCTTACTCATCGCTTTATGTTACTGTTGGCGAATTTTTTTTTCATTTATGGCCTATGTGTATTAACCTAATATGGCCACTCTCAGTTTTTGTTTAAATTCTTATTGTTTGTTTTGTGTAGGCTTTGTTACTGTTTCTCAGCGCCACTTCAGGAACAGTACTTTTAATTAGAACCCAACAGTGAATGGTCGAGTGGGGAATCCTACCTATGCTTTAGAATTAATATTTAATTTTTTTTTATTAAATAACACTTCCTGCAACCGGTGGGATTCGATCTCAAAGTCATGACTCTAAACACTGCACATACTTTGAATACTATACGGTGCAAGAGAGAGGTCCGACACGCCCAACATAGGGCGCGGCCATTTTGATTCCTATGCCACAGTTTATAGCTAAAGAATCAGATCGCTCACTCTGCATCGGCACTTTTGATCTCAATGTTCCAGTTTATACACTGCGCAACTCGGATAATACAATATATGACAACCGCCGATAATAAAACAGCAGTCTTCTGCGTATCCTGAATTTGTATCCCTGGAGTGGATGTTATTTTGGAACTTTCAACTGGTCCGAGTGAGCAATAAACTGTGACTGCAAAAATAATATTCAGTGACACTGACAGCAGCAAGCAAAATATCAGGTGCGTTTTAATCATCCGCTTCTGCTTCCGGAATTGTCGGTTTAGTCGTTTTAACCTGTCAGATTAAAACAAGAAAACCGACAATTCCGAAGAAGAAGCGAATGATTAAAACGCACCTATTAAAAATATTGCGCCAAGATATAGGCAACACGTAATAAAGGATCAAAATGGCGGAGTTTTCTATCTCCTTTTAAAAGGCACTCAGAAAGCTGCGCAGTGCGACCATTCTCTTTATAGTAAAAGAAAATCAAAGTACGTGAACCACTGAGCCACCCACCCTTTATTTGGCCCATGTAAAATAAATTATGCCCTGTATAAAATTGTTAAAAATAGTTATAACCTAGTTATATCATAATTTAGTAAAAGTCACCAATAATTTATTTTTGGAACTGACACTAAAAGTTGACATAATTTTCAATCAACATTTCTACATAAATGGCATTATTGCCTTTTATGGACGGGTTTTACAAAGAATGCTGTAAATTCAGTTTAGCTAACAGGAATTTAATTTTTAACTTTTTAAATTCAACGTATAAATGACTTTTTTATAACTTTTTAACAATAACCGATGATTATACAACGATGTTCTCAGTTTAAACTACCCACATAACATCAAGGTTCTAGGAATAAACTAACAACGTTCTGTTTATGTTCTTTTTATTATGTCCTTTCTAGAATGTTCTTAGAACATACCTAGTATATACTATGAACGTATATTCTAGAAAGTATATACTGGTGCGTGCCTTAAAATTATATTCCAAAAAGTATATGCTGAGCACGTGCTATAACAGGACATTCTTAGAAGACACTAAAAGTCATATACCCAGAATTTACCTCATATTCTGAGAATGTTCCAAATGCTTGCAGGTAAAAATTAACACCAAATACATGTAGAAACACGTTTATATACATATCTATATGAATTTTTCCCAAATGCCGATCTGATAATTCGCTAGTAAACGCACTAATTTTGTTCAGGCCAAAAAACATTCACAACCTTAATAGAAAAGAAGAAGAAGAAGAATAACATAACCTACAATTCCTACAAATTTGTTTGATCTCGTTTCCTTTTGTAATAAGTAAGTAAATTAATAAAAATTAATTGCATCGTGTGTTCGATATAAAAGTAAACAAATTTTACTATATTTGTAGTTTTTAGGACCTATAAGTGATGTTAAAACACAGAATATCCCAAATATTAATTGCCAGTGTGAATTGATTAATATGGTTAATACTAATGGCGGATTGAAACTAAAATACAGTTTTACCAGAATTACATACACACTTTCTATGAAAAAAATCCCGTAAGGCCAGAAATTGACCTGGAAGAACTAGAAAATTAGCTAAAGGACGACGAAAACTACAAAATGGTGGTAAGTAATTAACAAAAATTATTTAAACTTTCACTAAACATAATAATCATTTATGTAGCTCTTGTTTTTGTTAGTGGAATGCCATGTACAATTTTTAATGTTTTACGTTCGACAAAAATATTTAAAATATTCCATTAGCTATGTACACTTAATTTGTATATGTACCAAGTTTGTTGATTTTTTTTTTATTTTTTAGGTTCAATGAAGATCCAATGGAATCAAGCAAATGAAACTCAAGCCATTGATACAATAAAATATTGGTTGGTTAAGGTCAAAGAAAGAATTTATAATAAAAATAAGAATAAGTATGAATTTTTTGAAATAAAGATTTAAATAATGGTCACGACTTTCATTATATACACTTATTCTTTAATGTTTAATATTAATTAAACTTCCTGTATTAGGGTGTCTAGTATATGTCTAGCATATTCTATATTTAAATACTATCAAATTAAAGTAGATACATCTGGCATACTGTATACATACTTGAAGTACATTCTCAGTATCCTGCATAGCACGTATAAACAACGTCACGTAACATATGCTTAGTATATTCTCAGCATATGCGTATTCTTAAAAAGTATATACATACTAAGAATATGCTAAGAATGTATAACTGTTATCTGGGTATGATTAGATTTTAACTGCCTATTGTACCTATTGTACCCTATAGAATATAGAGTAAAATAAATTTGAACCGAGACTTGAACCCATTTGTATTTCGTGTTTTAAGGAATAATAATAACAAGGTTAAAAACAATACTTCTTTAGGCCTATTAAAACCTAATCCATCAATTTCACGAAAGTTAAGTGTTTGTTTGATTGATTTGAATTGTGACTAAAAATAGTCTGAAAATAGTAAAAGTCGATTCATATTAATTGCAACTAAAAATAGTTCCAGACGAAATAGGTAAATAAAAATATGTTCAATTATTGAGAATATGAAAAGTAAATAAATAAGTAAATGAAACTAATACTAATAGAAAAATGGTTTGAAACTCTTATTACAAATCAATTTGATTAATTTTTGTTTTTCGAGGGTTTATTTGTTTAATGTAATTTTTATTTTATTTTGTTACTGTTAGTTTCCTCAACCTAAAGAAGAACCTCCTCAATTTTTAAATCGTTTATATTACTTAGTGACCTTTTCTTATAACTAACTTTAAGTACCTATTTTAGTCTGTAGGTGATCCTAAATGGATATGTGATGGTAAGTCAAATTAATAAATAATTTCTAATTCGTTTTTGTCCTTATTTTCTGTTATTCATCTTTTATTCAATTTACAATACACTGACTATATAATTATCCATCTAAGTGGGTTTGGTGGTGACGTAACTACATCTAACTACTGTATATTTTTTTAGGATGTACGCTGTTTTAGTTTGTATTCTAATATTCCTTGCCTTATCCTGTAATTAGGGACAACTCTGTCGGATTTTGTATTAAATAAACATAAATAATAACGTAATAATAAGCCCCAACTAGACATAATTTAAGGTATATAATATATTTTATCCAACTGTCACTCTAAAATAATTAAATTATTCAGGGACGAATACTTTTCGAGACTACAAAACGGATAACTGATAATTTTCTTCGAACACTTGCTAACTTATTATTTATTGATAAAAATATTCAATAGATTTCTCAAGGTTGCTACGATGAAAGTTCTATAAAGAAAAGGAATAAGTAAGAAACCATTAACATAGCGAAAAATATTGTTTAATTCACTCTGTTTGAAAGGAAGGGGTTTTCAGCAGAGGCGTATCAAGAAATTAGTCATGGGAGAATATTAGATTATGTTATTCAAGCTGAAAAATAAAACATATTGTTACGCAGCACCCTGCAGTAATCTGCGGCTGTTATACAGGAAGCAGACGAATAAAAGAAGAAGGGGAATATTCAAGAAATGTTTAAAAATGTCATTCTATGTCAAGAAACATCTGAACGTTTTAAGATGGTTCTAGAAGGTTAAAGCAAGCTACATAAGTGATTCTGACGTCAGAGTTACAGTTCTGTAGTAGAAATTATACGTTCATGTTATCAGTTATATAGTTGCATTGTAAAGTTGAGTTGAAATAAATTGACATACCAAAAACCAGTGTAACAATATGAAAATTATAAACATTGATGATTTCTTTAGTGATGTGAACGCCTATGTACGTCGCTGACCGTAAAATTAAGAGTTAATGTCATGGTATTGAAGAATAATGCTAACTTTATTATTTTAGGATATCTAAGTCTGTTATTTTTTATAAAAGACACACATGCATACATAGATATAAAACCAAGACAAAAACGATTCATTACAAAATTTCTGAACCATCACGGATTCATAATCTAAGCGTCCATGGCAGAAATGCAATATTCTGATTGAACATTGTAGCCAAGTTTACGGAGTTTTTAACAATAGTATGGAGCTAGCTGGTTTTAGTAAACTACCTTCGGTTTACCGTTCGGGATCTTACTTAAACGGCAAATAACATCATTGATTCTTTTCTAGATGAGATACGGACCTTCCCAAGATCTTTGAAGCTTCGGAGAATAACCTTTCTGTCCTTTTGGGTTATGAAGCCAGACTTTTTCGCCTTCCTTGAAACATCCCTCTGTAGCTTGGGTATCGTACCGTTTCTTCATCCTGTCGCTGGCGATTTAAAGATGCGAGCGGACCAATTCATGCATATCGTCCATTCTTCTTCGTAACCGGATCGCATAATCTTCACCAGCTACATCTTCTCCAGGTCGGCATCCAAACTCGAGGTCGCACGGTAGTCTTATCTCACGCTCAAACAGGACCTTTGCTGGTGTTTGGCCTGTTGATTCATTGACAGCGGACCTATAAGCCATTGCAAAGAGCGAAAGATACTGATCCCAATCTCGTTGATGGTTTGAAACCACGTTTGACAGATATTTGCCAATAGTCTTATTCATTCGCTCTACCATTCCATCGGATTGTGGGTGCAATGCTGTCGTTCTGGTTTTCTTCATGCCTAGTCTGTTACAGATTCCATGGAAAAGTTGACTTTCAAAATTTCTGCCTTGGTCACTGTGGATCTCCAAGGGCACTCCAAATCGATAGATAAACTCTTTAATTAACACATCTGGAACAGTTGCGGCTTCTTGATTTGGAATGGCATAGACTTCCACCCACTTTGTGAAATAATGCATTTGTTCTCATACGAAATGTGAAATCTAACAAGAAAATTTATATTTGTTGTAGTAGTAAATCTGGTTTTTCGTTCATTATTTTACAGATTTAACTTGGAGACTTGTTTGTTACAGGTTCATCCACAGGCATACAAAAATTTAAATATTAAAAACGTAGATATTTATAGTAAATTATTTGAAGATCTTTATTTAACGATTTACTTTTAAATTGTTAGATTAACTAATCGGAAAAGCCTTGTTAATGAGTTTTTTTTTTAAATCGTTACCCTAATTAGTAAACCTCGTAACTTCACTTTTTCCAAATTCACATTTTCATGCCAACTTGTAGAGAAAAAAACCCTCTATTACATGTTTCAAATCTCATAAATCCAGAATAATATTATTCTGGATTCTGGATTCTATGACTTGGGGGATGTGGGGGATGTGCACGCATACATAACTTCTTTGAAACAGTTTATGTATTTATATTATCATTCCCTTTTGGTCTTTGATCGTTTTACGATAAATCTTAAAATTGGATATTGGCGTATTATTTTCTTTATTTGAAAATTCAACCCCGAGAAATAGTTTACAGTGATTACGTCAAAATCCTCAGAATGCATTCCGAATGTATGCAAGAGAAAACTCTAACTGGATTAACATCCTCATGGTATTTCATATCAATATTAGAGATTCTAATGGAACAGGTAAATAGAAAACATCATAAGCTCTGGTTGAGACTACCTGGACTCACACAGTCCAGAATATTCATAGAGCAGAAAACTCAATTGCAGAAAAGAACTAAAGATTTTTTACAGAACTCTACGCATCAAAAATCTCTATACAGTGGATTATAGGTCTAAAACAATAAGAATTGAGAACTTACCCTCAATTCAAATTCAGTAACTTGCTCCATATCCCTTGGATAACCATCAAGAATCAGACCTTCTTTCTCCATATTATCCACCATAATTTTCTCAACGTATTTCACAATAATATCTTCCGGCACCAATTCACCGTTACTGATGCAGTCCCTCAACTTCGCCACCTCCTTATTTTTCTTAGCATCTGGTTGGTCGGCGATGCTTCTCAAAATTTTTCCAAGACTGACGTGCTCCCAGCCTATTTCTGTGGCAACGCTCGCGCTGAGAGCAGCCTTGTTACTACCCGGCCCGCCGATTACCCATAAGACTGGTGGATAAGCCTTTGTAGGGGATCTAAAATTGGGCGTGCTTGGATTAACGGATATGACTCGGGTTTGCGGACGATCTGGTGATTGCTGGAGTTGCTGAGAGCGGGGTACAGGTGGTATTTGGGTAGTAGATGGCATAGACTGAAACAGAAACAATAATTTAAAGAAAATATGTCATGTTTTTGGAATAGAAATAAAATAATTAGGTCATCCGTAAAGAAAAGGAACAATTCAAAGTCCTAACCACAAAAATTATTTCTTAGAAACAGGGACGGAGCGACTAGTTTCGGTAATTAAGAAATGAGTCAATAAATTCAGTACTTATTTGTTTTCTTCTATTAAACTGCATTTGCTTTTATTGTTTATGTATCTCTTTTGCACTTTTTCACCACACAATTTATTAGTGATTTTGCAAATGAGACTTTAACCAAATTATTATATTGTTTGATATGTTTATAAATGGCGCTACATTTGGGTCTGCAAATGGGCCCACTACTAAATGATTATGATATGTAAAATCTAACGAATAATGATATTGAATATATATAAAACTAGGATAAAGATATATAATGCTTATAATGCTCATTCTATTATTATACTACTATTATACTCTTCCTAGTTTAACAGAACCCCCCCCATTTTTAATCAGATTTCTATTTAGAATCAATATGTTTCATCATCTTAGATTTATAGTTTTTTTCAATATTTCAACCCCAATTATCCCCCCATTTTTATTCAGATTTGTTTAAGAATCAATAGGCTTCATTGCCTTATAGAGCTTGGTTTTTACTAAAAATTTCATGTTGGTGTCGCTTTTTATTTATGACTTACGTATTTTTTTTTAATCCCCCTTAACCCCACCATTTTAAGTCAGATTTTTTTAATTTAATAGGCTTCATCTTCTTATAGAGCTTGATTTTCCTGAAATTTTCAAATTGATATCGAGGGCCAAAACGCAGGACCTCGTTACTTACATTTTGTGCGAAATTCGTTTTATTATAAAATATTGCGTAGAATAGATGATGCAATCTGTTGACCAAGTTTAAAATTAATCAGTTTTCAGTTTTAGGGGTAAATCGCGAAATTCATAACATCGTATTTACATTTGCGCCAATTTTGAAAGCATTACCTTGTATCTGTCAGTCGGCTCCTTATTATCGAACGTTATTGTTGTAGTTCGTGGGAGTGTTTCATGTTTTTAGCTGGTAAGGTAAGATGTTTAAAATAACTGTAATTTTATATTACATACTTTTAAAAGAGTTGTTTTGAAGGTGTTGTTAGATGTTTTCGTCTCATTTATTCTACAATAAATAATATATATTTTTATACTCCAAAAAGCATTTTCTTTCCAGGTGACACTTACGATGTCCTGCATTTAAATTTATATAGATTTAGCACTTACGAGGTACTGTATAAAACTACTAATATAATAATGTCCAACCGAGCAAGAAAGATAGTCGCAATGGCTAAAATTCTGCACTCAAATGAATCAGAAACAGTAAACGAAAACCATAAAAAAGAAAATGACCTGAATTTGACAAATATAAGTGATCTGAACAATAAGTCTTTTCTCGAGCTTAACTTGAAACAGCTTCTGAGCCCTGAGGATATTTATGAAATAATCAGTAACGCGGAGATCGTATTCCAAAGTAGTTTGAAGCCAGAAACTCTTAAGAGTTCTCCTGGACAAATTTGGAAATCATGGAATCTACAATATCAGATCCTAGCTTTAAAATAAACAATGTAGAAGCCAGTTTGAAACAAACCGTTACAAATTCTTTCACGATAATACCCGAAGAAAACCTTTCTGATCTCGATAACGACGCCACTATGGAGCGCAACGACGCTGACTCATCTAAAAAAAGCATAGTCGAAGATAATTATTCAGATTAAGAACAAAAAGGGCAAATATCAGACCCAACAACAGACTCTCAACAGATGCCGTCTGTCTCGGGAACGTCGAGTAGGGTCGCCAAGGACACAGGACGTGAAAAGATCACTCCTGCAGCCGCAGTGGCTAACAAGGGTATCTCTGGACCCGCAAAACCTCATTGGAGGCCCACCTCCTCAAAGGACAAGAGGAAACAACCCCTGTCCAAGAGAGCAGTGCGTAAAGGCTCCAAAACCAAAGGGAAGGAAAATACGGAGAAAAGGAGTGATAAAAAGGATCCTCCACCACCCCCCCCCTCTCCCAATCCCTCCCACTCACTAACAATGGGCAAGCCGATGCTCTTCCTCTAGGCAAATCTTCAGCACGCCCAAGCGGCTTCATACGTCCTTGGCAGGAGGTTTGCCAAGAAGAAACTAGACATCGTTTTTGTCCATGACCCTAAAAGCACAAACTGGAGTGGATACGAAAAGTCCCTCCAGGAGGGGCTTGGAAACGTAACTAAAACTATTAAGAATAGCGCAGAGATTGAAGAGGCGAATGATCAAATTCAAAATGCCCTTATTACTGCTTATCAGGACAACTGCCCACTAAAGGAGAGAAGAGACCTGAGGGGTACTCCATGTTGGAGCAGAAGCCTCGACCAAAAAAGAAAAGAAGTTCGACATCTCTTCAATAGAGCTAAAGAATTTGGCTGCTGGGAAAACTACCGCAAATCTTTAACGGAGTACAACAAGGCTATTAGAAAGGCCAAACGAGAATCGTTCAGGAAGTTCTGTCAGAGTATATCAGATTTACCTGCAAGTACCAGACTTCACAAGATTCTTGCCAAAGATCCGAGACGGGAAGTCGGCTCGATAAAAAGACCCGACAACACCTACGATCCCAGGTAGTCGAATCCTCGAGGACAGGCAACATGCACCCCTTCCTTTAACGGAATCGATTATACGACCCAAAAAGGAGGACTCGAACTTTGTTGCTTAAATTGTCTCTCCAAACGCCGTGAAATGGGCGATGAATTTATTCTTCCCCTTTAAATCACCCGGAGAGGATGGAATTTTTCCCGCCCTTTTACAAAAAGGATAGGAACTTCTGCTACCCCTCCTTGTGAGGTTGTTTAGAGCAAGCCTGGCGTGGAGGTATATCCCACTAGGATGGACGTTGGCGAAAGTCGTGCATATACACAAGGCTGGTAGAGTAGATACCTCCCTACCAAACTCTTATCGTCCAATCTGCCTAACATCCTTTCTTCTAAAAACACTAGATAGGCATATTAGAGAAGGGCGTCTTCGGCCAAACTCGTTAAACTCCTCTCAATATGCCTACCAAGCAGGCAAATCATGCCCTGCACAATCTAGCAGGCAAAATCGGCCATTCCCTAAATCACGGGGAGATTGCGCTAGGTGCCTTTATTCTCTTCTATTGAAAGAAGAGAAATCGACAAACTAACTTGTAATTGGATCAAAAGCATGCTGGCAAACCGGAACATCACTTCATCACTGCAGGTAGAGACTGTCACTTTCAGGCCTGCCAGAGGATGTTCACAAGGCGGCGTACTTTCACCCCTACTGTGGACTATTCTGGTGGATGACCTGCTAGACGATCTCTCCCGATAGGGGGTGGATTTCCAATGCTATGCGGACGATCTGGTTATCATAATTAGGGGAAAGTTCGAAGAGGTGATCTCCAACATCCTACAACAAGCCCTAAATACTATCAACAGATGGTGCGAGAGGGAGCAGATGTCTGTTAAACCCCGTAAAACTGTTATTGTCCCCTTCACCAAGAGAAGAAAGCTCGACAAGCTTCGACAACCTACCTTGGCTGGGGAAACCATTTCTTTTGCGGAGGAGGTGAAATATTTGAGAATTACCCTAGAAAAGAAACTCACCTGGAACCCCCAATTGGATAAAACCATTAACAAAGCCAGATTATCCCTCTGGACTTTCAGAAGGATATGCGGCAAAGCATGGGGGATCAGTCCTCAACTGATCTATTGAATTTACCAAACAGTGATAAAACCCATGGTTACGTACGGCTCTGTCGGCTGGTGGGACAAGGGACTCCAACGGACGGCCAGAGCAAAGCTAGCTGGAATACAGCGGCTTGCGTCCCTCGCCATAACTGGAGCAATGTCAACTACACTTACAGAAGCCATGGAAACCATGCTGGACCTAACCCCTCTCCACATTCTGCTGAAAAGGGAGGCCAGAATGGTATCCTACAGGCAGGCTCCTGAAAGTAAGGTAGTCAATGTTACGAAGAACTGCGATGGGACAAGACGGAGCTAATGAGTGAAATTAATAACCACCTCATCCTCGGCATGGTCTCGGACTCGCTAGTTCCCCGACAGCACATAGAAAGGTCATACAGCGTCCTTATTCCAGAGAGAGACGCATGGAGCAAAGGGGAAAAACCCTCTTCCAGGCAGACTATGCATTGTACGCGGACGGCTCCAAAACTGAAAAAGGAGTAGGAGAGGGAGTTTTCTTCCACAGGCCTAGAGTTAACATATCAATAAACCTAGGCTCTCTGGCCACGATCTTCCAAGCAGAAATGATTGCTATAGAATTGGGAGCGAGAGAGTTGATCAATTTTCTCCCCGCAAATAAGACTATAAAGATCTTTTTAGATAGCCAGGCAGCCCTTAAGCTGGTTTGGAACTGTATAAATACCCTAGAGTTTCTCGGTGTCCGGACCAAAGTTACTTTGATCTGGGTTTCGGGACACAGTGGTGTGGAGGGAAACAAAAAAGCCGACGCACTTGCTAAAAGAGGAACCGAATCTGTGTTCATAGGATCAGAACCATTCCTGGGCATTGCAAAAAGCACTGCCAAAGGAATTATCTCAAAATGGACGAAGGGTGTAAGACTCACGAACTGGAGAGATACCCCAGGGCTAACCCATTCGAAGGCGTTTATAACCAACCCTTCCATTAACGCCTCTGCTTAGATCCGAGAATGAAGTAGGAGAGATCTACGCATTTTCACTGGACTAATGACAGGACACTGCCGTCTGGGCAACCACATGAGAAGGATAGGTCTGTAACAAACATCGGACTGTCGATTCTGCAGCGTGGAGGACGAGTCTGCAGAGCACATTTTATGTAAGCTCCGCTCTGGAAAGAACCAGGTTCCAGATCTTCGGATTTACCCGACTAGAGCCTACCGACTTTAAAGAAGTCTCACCCAATTCAACCATTACCTTTATCAAAAGGTGTGGCTTGTACGGTGAACTATAAGTGAGCCACAATAGACCCATCTGGGTCGCAGTGGAAGGTGATGAGATCATCCCACTCATTTTCAACCTAACCTAACCTAAATGTGGTTTATTTCAGAAAGAGAAGAACATTGTTATATATTGTTATAATAATCTCATTATGTTCGTTTTTAGTAAATATATTTATAAAAAAATCAAAACTTATGTTTTAGAACAAAAATAAAATAGTTTTTTTGCTCTCCTGAAAAATTTCTAAATTGTTACAAGGTCCTGCGTTTTGACTCTCGATATCTTTTTTGTTATTGACTTATCATGCCGACAAAAAACGTGACATCGGCGGACGGACAGAACCGAATGCATTATACTCTTGACAGCCTAGTGTGTGAAGAATATAATAATGTAAATTGAAATTATTTGATTAATGTTAAATAAATAATATATAAATTTGTATGAAGGTAGGTTAATTTCATGTAAGTCCGTTGACCGACGTGTCATAAATATAAGACCTAATTACTCATTTAATTTAATGAAAATATATTTCAAATGAGGTATCACATAACACTACTTTCCATTAGAAAATAGTTGTGTTACTTACCACTTGTGGAAGTTCAGTGGTAACAACATTATCCGGCACTGGAGCTACCTTTCCATTTAAAAACACCGGTGGATTGTCTTGCATGCCTAGAATTCGGATGACAGCTGCTTTGAAATCTTGATAAACGTCGGAGGGTACCCGTTCGCCATTAATCTTGAAAATAATATAATATATTAATAAAAAAAAAATAAAAAAAAATAGGTAACGATGTCAAAAAAGATATACATTTTATACAAAATATATTCATTATTTTATTGATTTTATAATTTCCAACAAATACAGCTAGTTGTTAAATTTTATTAATATTAAGTAAGCTATTTAATCTTGATAAAACAAGTATTTTAGTGATTACGTATAACATTATGCTTGAAAATGTTTATTAATAGAAGTTAGAAGTAGTAAATTAAAAATTAAAATTTCAGTCGCTACAAAAGTAATGAGCCACAGACAATCAAAATGACGTGTTTTAAAAGTTTTTCTGCTTTTAATGTTTTTTTTTTTTTTCGGTTTCAGAATTTATGGATGGAACTCTTGTTTTATTTCTCATGATTATAGAAAAGTTTTGTTCTGTATTGAATATTTAAAATATGTTTTTTTTTTTCAGAAAATGTATTATTACGTTAATTATTGTAACTAAAGATTTTACAAATAATATGTATTTAAATAATGCAATTATTTAAAGTTATTATTAGCAATTTTATACAGGGTGTTTATTAATTGAGTGCCTTGAGTAATTTTAAGAAGAAAAGAAGAGTGTTACAGTTTTAGGAAAAAAATAACTTTTTTTATCATAATTTTCTTATCACTTCAATTATTTTTATGAAATTTTGTTCAAATCTTTTATTCATTAAAAAGCATTTTTTTGACAAAATACTTTTTTACATTTTTACCAGTGACATTCGTACGGGGTTTGAACTAAATATTTTTGAAGAAAAATATGGTACGCCACAATTCGTTTTTTCTTTTCAGGAACCGCTATCAAAAAATCCTGGTTACTAGCGGTTAGTAGTCGGTTAATAACGGATCATACCCTAAATGCCCTCTTAAGAGCAATCCAGTCCCTTCTGACGTCACACCGCACGTATCTAACGACCTCCCCTTAAAGTATTTGGAACCTTGTTCGGTTACATAAATTTGGCAATGTTGTGTGTCGTGCGCTGAAGAATAATCATAGGATTCGGTAGGGTCCAATTACAATTATTACATGAACACAGGTGTGTCATCAATTGGCGAAGTAAATCGTTGGGTATCGCCGCCTAATGGGGGATTTGGTGGCTTGTTAATATTATAGGAATGTAGGAATACTATTTTTAAACCAAACAACTCAAATATTTCTTATTTATTGATAGTTATAGATGATATACAGGGTATCTCGAAATTAGACGGTCATATTTTAACAGGGTAATCTACATCTTAAAATAGTAGTAAAAGTTCATATAAACATAGGTCCAAAAACGTTTCTTTTCCGAGATAGAAGGTGTTAAAAGTGAAGTCCTGATACCACACTTTTGTAAATATTTTCTAATTATGTAAAATTTGGTACAAATACTTACCTTTTTACGCTCCATTTATTGGACTAAACCCCAGTTTTTGATCATCTTCTTAGGTGAGTAAATTAGGGGGAGCTTAGAGTAAAATTGCCCTAAGTTTTTTTTGTTGATAGTTTTTAACATTTTTGACTATTAAATTTGGAAAACCAATATTTTCTGTAAAATAAAGCTACATTTGTTGCATCTCGCTAGGACGCGCCATTTTCAAGAGAAAAGCATGTTACCTTATTCGAAAGTGTAAACAATAATTAGTAGGTCTGTAGAATCAGACATTTTATTTTTTTTAACTTTGGAAAATCGGTAACTAATGAAATTTTAGAAAATATTTACAAAAATGTGCCATCTGGACTTAACTTGTAACACCCTATATCTCGAAAACGAAACGTTTTCGGACCTATGTTTATATAAACTTTTACTCCTATTTTTAACCGACTTCAAAAAAGGAGCAGATTCTCAATTCGTCGCAATATTTTTTTAAATTTTTTTTTATGTATGTTTAGCGATAATTCTTTAACACGGTGTCCGATTTCAATGATTCTTTTTTTGTTAGAAAGGAAGGTTTTCAGGGGTGGTTCCATATAAATTTTGTCAAAATCTAATAATTAGACCCATGAGAAAATCCTCAAACTCTTCATTTTTTATGTATGTATAGCGATAATACTTTACCACCTTGTCCGATTTATATAATTCTTTTTTTGTTAGTAAGGGGTGGTCCCATATAAATTTGGTTAAGATATGGTGACAGCATCTGCACGTTTTTGAATTCGGTTTTTTTAAATTTTTAATTTATATTACTTGTAGGATGTAGATTACGCTGTTACCCTGTATATTGGAAATTCGAAATAATAGTTATGACGTAGCGGTGTTCTTCTAATTGTAATCGGACCCTAGGTATATGGATACGGAAAGTGATGAATTGGAGATAGGTAAATTGTATTTATTGTATTAAAGGAACAACAAATATAAGTACAATTAAATAAGTATATTAATATAACAATTTTTTAATGTGTGTATAAAAAAAATTTTTTTTCACATAGATTATTAAATTAAAAAAATAACTATTATTTCACGAAATGTTAATTTTTTCTCTTTTAAAACACAAAATATACAATACTGTTGAATCAAAATTTTCTCTTGGCAGTAGGTGGTTTTTATGATGCTTTGCATCTCATGAATTAAAGCTAATTATCTTTCAATCTTAAGGTGATCACACCCCTTATAATTTTCGGACAAGAATATCTCAAAATATTTAAATTTTGGCAAAATAAATTAGGTAATAATATCTAGAATATGCATATATTTTAATGTTTTAATTCCTTCCAGTTTCCGAAAAAACTAAAAGGGCTTTAATTTTGAAATATCATAATGAAAATAAATGCATTCCTCGACAGCACTATTCTTTATATAATCCCCAAATTTAAGCTCCTAGTCTAGTTAATGACTTCTTAAAATTCGCCAAAATTAGTGGCTAAAAAGCTTCATTAAGTGCTATCTTTTGGTGTAAACTGGTGTAAATTGTTGCAAGAAACGAATAATGACAGAGTGTACGATACGATAGTTACAAGCGCGTTACACCAGAAGGCAGCACTTAACGAGGCGTTTTAGCCACTAATTTTGGCGAATTTAAATAAATCATTACCAAGACATTAACAGTTTAAATTTCGGGATTATGTTAAAAATAGTTCTGTTGAGGAATGCATTTATTTTCATTATCATATTTGATTTTTTTTTTCGGAAACTGAAAGGAATTAAAACTTTAAAATATAGGCATATCTAGTTAATATTACCTAATTTATTTTGCCATAATTTTAATTTTTTAACAAAATTACTTTTTGAAATATCCTTGTCCGAAAATTATAAAGGCTGCTGCATTCACCTTAATATACCAACATACAGGGTGTTTCAAAATTCATGGGACAAATTTCAGGAGGTGATTGCTCGTATGAAATTAAGATGGGTGTTTTTTCTATAACAAAATTTCCTCAGCCCACGCCTTTCCGAGATATCACCCTTAAGAGGTGATGACTAAAATTGAGTTTCTATTTTTTTTTCTAAAATGTCAGTAAAGCTAGAAACTTGAAATTCTGTAATTTTCGTGCACTCGCAAAGGACTAACCACGGTTATTTTTTCAATATTCCTGTTACATTATAGGGGGGTGAAATTAGCAACCCTTACTTTATTTCATATCAAAACTTTTTTTCGAGATGAAGTTTTATGAAATAATTTTGTAACTTGAAATACTTGTTTTATTTAAAAAAAAATTCCCAAAACTAACAGCTTTATAGAAAAAAAAATAATGTTTTCCACTCAATTTATTAAAAAAAAAATGATAAATTAGGGTGTTTATTTTTTTTTTCACTGAAGCTATTGGTTTTGGGAAAAAAAGTTCTGATATGAAATAAAGTAAGTGTTGCTAATTTCACCCCCCTATAATGTAACAGGAATATTGAAAAAATACCCGTCGTTAGTCCTTTGCGAGTGCACGAAAATTACAGAATTTCAAGTTTCTAGCTTTACTGAAATTTTAGAAAAAAAAATAAAAACTCAATTTTAGTCACCACCTTTTAAGGGTGATATCTCGAAAAGGGGTGGGCTGAGGAAATTTTGTTATAAAAAAGACCCATATTAATTTCATTCGAGCAATCACCTTCTGAATTTTGTCGCATGTATTTAGAAACACCCTGTATATTAAACATTTTTTTAAGCGGGCAAAATTCTTGACAAGCTCTTTTTCCTAATTGGCACATGTCGTATTTCTCTAGGATCTACTAACTCTGGCAGCAAACAATTAAAATAGAAATTTGTCAGGTGGCATTTTTCATTTCATAAATTAACTAAAAACTAAATTGAACAAAAACCTAACAACGCCTCAACAACAAACTAAGACGATCACAATAATTTCGCACCTCTTCAAAAACAACTATTTTTCGACACAGGAAATAACAAATTTAACTAAACAGCAGCTACCCTTTTAACCACGGGCTTCATAGACCAGCAGCGTTGCCATATTCACTGGTATCATTGTTTTAATAGAATTAGTATCGGAATGAAAACTATGTTAATCTTTGGTCCTGTTTAAAATTGGTAATCTTTTTAAAAATAGTTAAGATATTTGTTATAAAATGACGCTAAAGTGCCAAAAAATTAAATTTGCTAAAAAGTTGAATTTTTTGTTGTTTTTCTTTAAAAATATAAGTTTTTCGTGATTTAGCGATATTCTTGGTTCATTTTTAGAACGATTGGACTGAACCATTTTTTTTACAATTTTTTTTAACTGCCGCAAATGTAAAATTGATTTTTGGTGGAGGAGCGCCCGTCATGTTTGCTCTTAAAGCAAATTAAATAAAAAGTAGTAGGCTGGGTAAAGCATCATAATTTTTACGTTTCTTTTCACACAGACAATAAAGTTGACATTGATTTTATATTATTAAATAATTATTACTAAAGTAAGATGTAAAATCTGATAAATAATAGGGTTCTTTATTTTGTTTGTATTCTCTTGTTATTTCGCTTTAGATTTAAGATTTTGAATTTATCGTTTTACTAAAAGAATCGCAAACTTTAAAATAGAATTTAAAAAAATCAGCGGCGTACCGTTTGTT